TTGGCATTCCATTCTGTTAGGTTCCTTTGACTAGAGGGAACACTTTAGGAAGGCCCTGTCGAGTAAGTAAAGATTAGATAACTTAAATCTGCATGAGTGATAAGTTTAGCATCCTTAAATTAATCCCTACCATTCATTCCAGTGGAAGCTTGTTGTGTGAGGATTATCTACTTATCTTTTATTTGTTGTTTATTTACTGTTTTTACCATTTTTTATTGCCTCAACATTACACCATTTTCAAACACTAAACATTTGTTATTGCCGTTGTATTTCCATTTGCTACACCATCAGACCATTCATCTACATCCACCTTCATACACTTTTCATTTGCCGTGACATTTGTATATATCAAGACTAACTATACTTAGATAGAATAGTGTATTGCTTTGGTTAGACTTTTGTAATTTCACCCAATCCCTGTGGAGACGATACTCACTCGTCATTGTATTACTTGAGCGATTGTGTATACTTGCACATTATTTGCGTATAATTTATAGTACTCACAACATGAAACAGTACCCATAATGCATTAATGTTGTGAAGTACTGCATGCCGGTGGTTCAAATTGATGGGACATTCTTGTATGGAAAATACAAGCAAGTTTTTCTCTTGACAGTTGTCCAAGATGATAATCGCAACATTCTTCCATTTTCTCTTGTTTTTTTTAAGGTGAAGATACAGATTCTTGGGTTTTTTTGCCTAAAAGACATACGCTATATGTCATGAGAGAAAAATAGGCATCATTTCAGACCGCGGAGCTGGATCAAAGTAGTGATTGACTCTTTGGGTCCAATGTGGCAACCACCCAATGTCTAACATCGGTATTGTATCTGACATATTACGGTAAAATATCATGGAAAATTTAACAAGAATGACAAACGTCAATTACTTGTACACATGGGTATGTCGCGATGCTTAATTTCATTTCTCAATCATTTTTATTTTTTATATGAACTTAATAGTAAGTACTACATTTGATGTGCAGGTTACGAACTATTACCTCAAACGTTTTAGTTCATGCTTCAAGATTTGCGAGGAAAAAATGAGCAATTATAAAATTATATCAACCTCATCAACAATGAAATGTGGACAAATGCATACGATGACAGATATCGATATGTACATATAACGACCAACTTGGTTGAGGTAGTCAATTTGACCTTAAAGGGGCGCACCATTTACCAATAAAAGCTTTGGTTGAAATGGCATTTTCATTTGGAGAGACTTTTTGCCAAGCTCGGGAGATAAGCTCTAACATGGATGCAAAACAACCATGTTTATCACCCAAGATTAGTTGCAGATCTACAAAAAAGAATTGTTGCATCAAATGGAATATCCGTGAAAAGTTTTTCTCGGACCCATAAATTATTTATTGTCACAGAAATGCCACAACTTCTTCAAGGGATTGAAGCTAGGTTATTCAGAGTTAATCTACAAGACATGTAGTGTGACTGTGGATTTTTCAAGCTCTGAAGTATCCATGTTTCTGTGTCATAGCAACTTGCTCTTATACCCGTCAAGACTATAATTATTTTGTGGATCACATATACTGACTTTCAATCGTATTTAAGATATATGAATTTGAGTTTCCCCGATAGGCAATGAGAAAGACCTAGACGAGGTTCAGAATTGGCTTCCGATTGTATCAAATCTGTTCTTATTAAGGGCGCCAGTTCGGCTAAAATCCTCTTGAATTCATTGTGATATGGATATTCGAGAGATGTCCAAAGAAAACAAAAGATTTGGTCATTGTAGAAACCTAGGTCACAATAGGAAAAAATGTTCATCTCTTTTAACATCAAGTGATCTTTGAGCATCGCAATGTAATTGTGGTTTCTGAAATCTCAATTTTTGTTATTTCATTTTCTTTTACTTTTTGAGAATGTCAATTGAGCATTAAAGTAAAACATTACAAACTAAATAAAAATAATAATTAAATAGAAACATTAAATATAAATATTACAACTCAAACAATTAAATAATAAAAACATTAAAAATGACTTGAATAAAAAGTCCATAATTCATTATGTTTGCAGATAAACAAAGAAAATTAAATAAAAACATTACAAACTAAACAAGTATATCGATGTCTACGCCTTGAATGTGTTTCATAGGGTGGTGGTGGTTTCTTCATATAACTTGCTCTTCCTCTTCCTCATCATCATCAGTAGCAACTATATTTTGTTGATGAAGAATGGATGATGATGTAGAACCTTCATAGAATAAGGACCTTGGAGGTGTATGACTAATCATAGCACAGCTCATAGAGAACTATGAAAACATCAACATCAAATATTGTGATCCATACTGAGTCGGACGTGTTTGTGTTTGTGGTGAAACATCACCCGCCAAATAAGCAGCATATGATGCCCATGTTGGTCCATAGGCATGACAATATAATGTCCGACATGAGGTGTCATAAAACCCTGTAGCGGCATCTGAAATGGATTCAATGCCATCTGAACCGGTGGTGTACCTAGTGGTGGCTGGGCATGTAAATCTGTGTATATTGTGCATGCTGTGATGGTTCCTATCGTGCAATTGAGGATGATCCGAAAGCATCTATTCTCCGTCCTTGAGTCGGTGGATGATGATGTTGTGATGGTGAACGTTTTTCTTGACGCTGATGAATGCTCATGCCTCGTGCTTCCTCGGAAAGTGGTAATAGCTTCCCGAACGTGTTGAACTACTGATAATAATCATCCGTAACTGAATAATGATCCACATAAATTGACTCCATAGGGAAATGTGTCCACGTCGATCCTCTCAGATCATTATCCACTCTCTGTGCTTTATCAGTCAGTTGATATCATTTTTGCCCCGTCTATCGACGTTATGCACATGGTCGAGATTCGTAGGTACTTCAGGAATATATTGTACAAATCCAAATTGGCGGAACACATGATCAACAGGATGCCACTCGACAATAGCAAAACATATCAGACGGACCACTGATATCCATACATCTGATAAGCCACTCAAGTTAGGTGGGATGCACAACCTCATTTCTTCACTATAATAAAGAGTTCATTCAAAATAAAACAAATATATAAAATTCTTAAAAATAAAATATTCTAATTATATAACGATAATTAAATGTAAATAATAAAATTTAAATACATACCTCTGTACCAGCCTTCTAATCAATGAGTAGTCGAATTTGTTTCAATGAGTAGTTGAATTTCTTTCAATTCGTCTGGTATATCACGATGATCTTTCATTCTACATGACCACCTATTCAATGTAAAATAATATTTCATTATAAACTCACAAAAAATTATTTATATATGAACTCAATATTGAAATTACCTCAACAATATCGGGAAGACCAACAGGTTATTCAAGATCCCTCCAATGAGTTGTAATATGCAAACCCGAGCAAATTTTTGGCATGTTCCTCGGAACAATATTCACTCAATTTTTTAAAATTTGTAGTCAACCATGCTAATAGTATTCTACCACTATTGAAAGTAAGTGGGATACCTCCAAGATAATCCTCGCACACGGAATGCCAATCATCATCTGCCACACCAGAAATAATAGCTCCATCTACCAGAAGCCCCAAATGTATGGAAACATCCTCCAACATAATAATGTGCTCCCCACACGAAAGATGAAATATATGTGTCTCTAGTCTCTACCTCTTAATCAGTGCAGAAAAAAGGGAAAGTTCAAGGTTTCAGAGCCCTTCATATCTTGCTATGTAACTGAATCCAGCCTCAACTAAATACTACCAGACACGATTCGATATCTCTAACTTAACGTTATGAATAAATGGATCTAATATACGATCATACCCCTAATTAAATAAATAATATATAAATTAAAATCTAAACTAATACTAAAATAAATAAATAAATAAAACATTCACAATAAATAAAATAACACAATTTAAATTTGTTACCATATAGGCAAAATGACCAGAGATATTATTTTCATCTAAAAGCAGTAACCCTATTTTATAACTGCAAAAGACAAAAAAAATTAGTAATATAAAATATAATAAAATAATAAACTATTAAATTATTATTATATATAATAATAAAAGTGTTACCTTATAAAAATGATAATAGAACTTACTTAAAAATTTACTAGAATGATTGATAAAAGGGAGAGGAGAACATTTTTGGTGTAGTTTGAGGGTTGTATGACCGAGTATTTATAGGTGGAGGGAGAGGGGATAGGTGAAATTAAAGGGAAGGGGGACGGTATTAAAGGATATATTTTAGGGAATAATGGAAGGTGCTTGATGATACGCGCCTTTCATCTACGTGTGTAAGGCGCGTTTGGTCAACCGCGCTTTACTGTCAAAAGATGTTATATCGATAATATTCGGAGAAACGGTGTCCGACAGGTAAATAATATATATTTGGGTGATTTTTACGTCAAACGTGCAAAAGATATATAGAATAAAACCATCTTTTATTTTATTATCACAACTTGGTTGGAAATTCCGTTTTGTATATTTTGCTTGAGTTATATAACTTCGACATTTATCCTTTTTCAATATATATATATATATATATATATATATAATTTCTCATTTTGGAATGCTAATTTGACATAAAGCTTATGCGTTTGGACAAATTTGATGATTAAACTACTCTGAGAGAATAAAATAAATATCAAAATTGAATTAAAATTTTCTTTCTACTTCATCTGTATAACGAACTTACATATGACCTTTTTTTTAGAGTTATAGTAAAAATATTTTTCATTATATTTCTCAAAAATAATGTTGAAATGCCATAAGAATATTAATGTAAAAATAAGTTGATAGAAAACGCATGAATACGACCATAGTTTCCTAATTCCTTCCCACCTACCCAAACAAAACCCTTTCCCACGCTTTGCTCTGAAAAATCCATTTCGGATAAGCTTTCCTTTCTCTTTCACAAAATATATTTATTTTTCCAAGGGAAAATATTTTAAAAGAAAAAATTAAAATTTTGGAAATCCTCGTTCTTCTTTCTCAGGCGCCCGCCTTATAAATACCCAATTTCTTCTTTCCTTCCTTTTGTCAAGGGAAATCCCAAACACGATAACCCCAGCTGATAAAAAAATCATTATTTATTGTTTTGATGAAAATGGTCGATCTCGATTGGAAAGCAAAGATGGTTTCTTCTAACATCTCAAGCAAATCCCCTAAGCTCTCTAATAAACTCCAGGTTTCGATTCCGGCACCGTTTCATATCCCCAATGTTTCCTCTCCACTCTCGATATCTCCTTCGGCTTCCAAAGCTTACGACTATTATCTCCGCCTCCCGGAGCTGAGGAAGTTATGGGAGGCTGAAGAGTTTCCCGCTTGGCAAAACGAAGGCGTCTTGAAGCCGGCTTTGCACGCTTTGGAGATCACGTTCCGGTTTATTTCGATCGTTTTATCGGATCCAAGACCGTACCTAAATCGCCGTGAGTGGACGCGTCGACTTCAGTCCCTTACCACGAGTCAGATCGAAGTCATCGCTATGCTCTGTGAAGACGAGAACGACAATAAAACCGCGGCGGGAACGGCACCGATCGTCGATCTGACATCGTCGAACGGTGTACTAACACGGGAGAGCAGCTCCGCCGAGGTTTGGAAGATCCACGGAGAAACGACGGTGGTGAATCGTACGAGCGAAGCCAGCTTATTGCCTCGGCTCGCGACGTGGCAAAAATCTGAAGACGTAGCACAGAAAATCCTCTATTCTATCGAGTGCGAGATGAGACGGTGTCCTTACACGTTAGGCTTGGGAGAGCCGAACCTCTCCGGCAAACCGAACCTCGACTACGATGCCGTTTGCAAACCGAACGAACTCCACGCGCTTAAGTCTAATCTGTTCGATCACATCGACAACCCTGAGAACGCAACGCTTTATACTACGCATCAGATTCTTGAATCGTGGATCCAAACGGGGAAACAATTGTTGAAACGCATCGCTTCAAGGATCGACGCCGGAAGCTTCGAAGCCGCAGCCGGCGATTGTTCTTCAATGGAAAAGATCTGGAAACTTCTAGAGCAAATCGAAGATCTCCATCTCTTAATGGACCCCGATGATTTCCTTCACCTCAAAAGCCAGTTGCAGATAAAATCGGTCAATGAAACGGAGGCGTTTTGTTTCAGATCGAAAGGGTTGGTGGAAATTACGAAACTGTCAAAGGAGTTAAAACATAAGGTACCGTCCATTCTGGGAGTCGAGGTTGATCCTAAAGGTGGGCCCAGGATTCAACAAGCAGCTATGAGGTTGTACACCGAGAAAGCAGAGGGTAATAAGGTCTCTCTGGTACAAGCATTGCAAGCCATCGAAGCGGCCTTGAAACGATTCTTCTTTGGATACAAGCAAGTGTTGATGATCGTTATGGGAAGTTTGGAAGCGAAAGGGAACCGGGCGGTGGCGAGTTCGGACCCGGGGGACTCATTGAGTCAGATATTCTTGGAGCCTACATATTTCCCGAGTTTGGATGCGGCTAAGACGTTTTTGGGTGAGTTTTGGAGTCGTGAACAGAGTGGATCTCGGACAACTCGGTTGGCGAAGTGACGATGACCCTGTCAAGAGAGATTATAGAAATGAAAAAAATTTAAAATTATTCTTTTAAAGTTGATGTGTGGTCAATTACTGTTTTTTATATCATATTTTTTGTAACACATTTTGTATAACGAGAATTATGATATTTAAAGGTGAATCAATTTCTTTATCATTTTTAAAATTATCAATCTATATAATTTTTTTAATTAAAAATTCAAATATGAATAAAACCACAAATCAATACAACTATATATAAACTATAAATCGAAAATTATTTAAATCGTCTGTAGTAAGATTTGAATCTCAACAACTGAACCTTTGTCAAGGAATCCTTATATTCTAAATCCCCATTTGAAGATCATAGGTTATTTAGAGGTAATGAGAGTAGAGAAAATGTTTATATAAATCATTAAAAAATCAATTCTTTAAAAAATAACAATTTTAATAATTTAATATCTTTAAATAAGGATTAATTTATGGAAAAATATTTTAAATAACTTTTTTGTTTTTACTCTTAACTCTATTATCTTTTTAAATTTATTAGATAATTTGTTTATATTTATTATTTAATTTTAATCAAATTATTAAACATAATTATGATTTAAATTCAACCTTACCTTTTATTACTTGATTTTGAACACTTAATTTGTTGGCGTTTAATCTTTTCAGATGAGATGAAGCTTTTTTAGTCCCTGAATAAATACTTTCTTCACATCATCCCTAGAGTGTGAAGGACTAACCTACGATGTAGATTAAATTTAGGGATTAATGAAGGGTAAGGACTAAAGTTGGGTGATTGACCTTGTGATACAGTACGGTTTCCAAAATGTAGCGATTCTTTTGAAGTTAATTTTTATATTGCGTCCTTAAATAAATGGACACCCTAATGTAAGATCATCCCTCCAATTGCATGAACTGACTTGATTGAGGTCACAAACTAAGCAATGAAACCGCTTTTGTTGTGGGGATTACTCCAGTGGAAAGAGCCCAACTTTCTACTGACACACTTGCCAGTTGCCACGGTCCACCAAATGTCTAACATAGTATCTAAAATTGCGGTGGCCATTGATCAAAATGAACTTGCTTCAATGGGCCTATACTGTCCGTTGGCTCTGGATATGGGGGAATTGGATCCCTTCTCCAATCACAGTTGTTCAACTTATAACACTTGAAAAGTTTGTTGGGCAGTGGCAGTTGAACATTTCTCCACATTTAATGATTTCATCAAACTGATGTGCAAGTATAATAATTAATGTTTTTTCATATAAATTTAAATATTTTACATTATAAAAAATTACAAATAAACAATAAAATTCAATTTGACCATTCACAATATTCAAACTTCTAGCATCCCAACATTACAGTTCAATTCAATTAAATTTCTTCATTTAATATTTTAATTTTAATTCTCTTCATCACTCTATTTAAACAACAGATCTTTATGTTTGTCAGGTAGAACTAAACTACGACAGTGTCAAGCCTACTTCATCGATGATTGATTGCTCCTAAGAACAATGCAAAACTAGCTTCCATTTTCCAATGATATGTTAACTTGTATTCTTTTTAATCTACTTCTATGTTTTTTCCGATCATTTTTGCCGGTGGCGGATGTATATAGTTTTACAAGGTCGGCACTGAAATCTGGATTTATTTATATTAGTTGTCCATTTTATTGAAGATGTCTATTTTGAAATTTTGTTTTTATTTGTCCCGTACGAAATTTTTTTTGTTATTAATACATATATACTCACCCTAAAAATAATTTTAGATTCATTACTGATTTTTGCACCATAGCAATATCTCACAATTCCTGACGAATCCAACCTCTGGCTATCTTCATTACAATCGCACAACAAAGGTTGCACGATCCAGCCACGGAGGTTACCGCTTTGTCGTAAAATTTCTTCAAAAAACCAGGGTGGAGAATTGTCTTCAAACTTTTAAATAATTATAATTTGGTCCTTAGTGCACGTTTTGGTTATTTGGTGGCACTGCTTTTAGTTATCTCCCTCTTTGCTTCTTTGATTTGTCCCATAAGTGTACTCAAAGTTTTAATATGTCATGTTTCTCGGTACGGTTTCGAAATTAATTTATTAGTACGGCATGCACTAAAATATGTTAAAAATTGGATAAATTACATGTTTAATACCTAAAGTATCACTTTTATTCTATTTTAGTACCTAAACTTTCTCTTTTTTCAAAATTATGCCTAACACTTACTTTTTATTTCATTTTAGTACCTATTGTTTATTTTTTGTTTCATTTTGGTACCCCATTGTTAACTTTTTGTTTCATTTTAGTACCTAAATTTTTAACGGCGGGATACTAAAATGAAACAAAAAATAAAATTTAGGTATGATTTTGAAAAAATTGAAAGTTTAGATACTAAAACGGAATAAAAGTGATACTTTAGGTACTAAACATATAGTTTACCCTAAAAATATTATTCTTAAAGATAACAAATAATTATACTTTTTAAAACTATTCCATGATGTTCATATACGCCTATTATTTTTATTATTTTATTCACTTAATTTATGTCTCAGAACTCAATAAAAAGAAGTTATCTAATTACTAAGTGGTATATAATTACTTGAAAAGGTGGGTCCAATTTTTCATGTTCAAAGACCAAATTTAATAATTTTTCCTGATCCGATGACTCTAAGCTTAACCTAAAGCGCTTGCATGCCAGCACAAAATGATAAACGCAGAAAGATTCGAATTTGATTTATGTTATAATTGTTACATTGTATGCTACTCTGGAACTAATATAATCAAATCCCAACATTATCTTCCGAAAACAGTTTTTTTCTTCACAATTTTGGAATATAATCTTTGGCTCGAATAATGAAACTAAATCGATTTTTAAAAATAAAATTAATCAATAATCATTAAATAATTAGGTGATAGATGGAGGTGAGTAAAACTCGACTCGACTCAACTCGAAAAAATCGATTTCTTCAACTTAATTAAAACAAATTTAACTCGAATTGACTTCGAATTATAATTTCATAAACCAACTCCAAAAAAATTTCAAAGTTCAAGTAAATTTATAAATAGCACCATTAATAGTCCCTTACCTGCAATGTAAAGTCTTAATATAATAATTTAATTTTGAAAGACTGTCGAATCACAGAGAAAGTTTGGGAAATCACATAACGTCACTTTAAGCTGAAGTTAATAGATTCAGAAGAGGTTTCGATTTGGATTAAAAAGAATTGCAGATCTGAAAGAGAAGCCACAGAGGGACAAGTTTGGGGCAACATCTTCACAACAATGATTTGGGGTATCTGGAAGGAGCGAAGTAGGGCTATCTTCAAAGGTGAGATCAGAAACCCAAACAATATATTTCAATATGGCCAATCTTGCAAAGGATATAAATAGGGCGAGAGACCAAAGTATCGATGATCTTACCAGAGAACCGAGATGGGTAAAATGGGTTAAACCCTCGATAGGACACTTTACGCTTAATTCCGATGGGGCATGCAACAAAGCCTCGGGTACCGCCGCAGCAAGAGGCCTGATAAGAGATGAAAACGGAGATTGGTTAGCGGGGTATAACATCAACATCGACAATTCCTCGTGTTTACTAGCTGAGTTATGGGGATTAAAAAGGAGACTCATTTGCAAAACCCCTAGAGCTGAGAAACTTAATAGTTGAATCCGATGCGAGGGAGGCAATAGAGTTACTCAAGGATGAAGCAACGGCTGATCTGTAAATCCAAAATATAGCGAATGAATGCAGGGATCTGATGCGAGAATTAGAGATAAAGGAAGTAAAGCACGTTTGGAGAGAAGGTAACAAAAGTGCAGATTGGTTAGCGAAATCCGCCCTAAACGAAGGAAAGAGAGATCAGGTTTTAATAGAATCACCTGCGGGAATTTTACATCTGCTTGAGGAAGATGAGAGTGGTGAAGAAACCCTAAGAACGTAACGGAAAACGCTGTCGTTTTTTCCGCAACTCCTTTGTATAAAAAAATAATTTAATTTTCTTCTTACTGCCAAAAAGAATACGAAATCAAATGCTTGAACTCAGTCGATCGTATTCATTATCAAGTAAAAAATGAGTTTAATTTTCATTTAATAAGAATCACTTAAAACTCTCACGACTTCCACCAAAAGAGTTTGAGTAAGAAAATTATGTCACAATTTAGCTAGAACTATATACCATTCACTCCCTTCAAGTCTTCACTTTGACAAGCTTGGCAATGGGCGGTGCCTAAATTTCATCGTCAGCTCACTTATTTGTGGCCAAAACTTAGCTATCAGCCTCCCCCTTTGTCGTTTATAACAAGAACATCCCAACGGGCTATTCACTTCATTTTCCCACTAAATTAAAATTCAAATAGAGTATATGTTAAATTAAGCCCCAAAGACAAATCATTGGTCGGTCATAATTCATTAACAACTACAACTTCAATCATTTATACTTAGCTCAACCCCGCCATTTCCTCATCAAACTTGGCCTATAAAAAAAACCACCCTACACCAAGCTCAAACACACCATTTCGACACAAAAAACCAGAGTTTTCAGTTTTCTTCTTTTCGTTTAAAGATGGAGGACAAAGAAGAGGATGTGAGATTGGGAGCCAACAGGTTTTCCGAGAGGCAGCCCATTGGCACGGCGGCTCAGTCCCAAGACGACAAGGATTACACCGAGCCACCGCAGGCACCATTGTTCGAGCCCAGTGACTTTACCTCTTGGTCTTTTTACAGGGCCGGGATCGCTGAGTTCGTTGCCACTTTCCTTTTCTTGTATATCTCGGTGTTAACTGTCATGGGCTTTCTTAAGGAACCGACCAAGTGCAAAACTGTTGGGATTCAAGGGATCGCTTGGGCCTTCGGTGGCATGATCTTTGCTCTCGTGTATTGCACTGCTGGAATCTCCGGTAATACATCTCTCTCTCTATTGTTTACTTGAAATGAATTTCATATTGTTGGATCGTTAATGGTGAAAATATTGTGGTGGTGGATATAGGTGGTCACATAAATCCGGCGGTGACATTCGGGCTGTTTCTGGCGGGGAAACTGTCGTTGACTCGGGCGGTTTTCTACATGGTGATGCAGTGCTTGGGAGCCATATGTGTTGCCGGTGTGGTTAAAGGGTTCATGGGGAAGAGCCGATACGGTACTTTGGGTGGCGGAGCCAACG